TGGTGTGAAGTCAGGGTTAATGTTTTGTGTGTTATGTGATCTAAAAGTCAAAGTTTAATTTTCCCTCCCAAAATACAATTGACTCAGCCCTAGTTATTAAAGATGACCCATTCCCCTTTTTCAAATTGTCACAATGGTCACATAGCCAATGTAGATCTGTTTCTGAACTCTCTTTGTTCCAGACTAATTTATCTTCTGTAGGCTGATCATAACTGTTGGAGTAGAAATCTTTGAACTTTGTTCTTGCCCTTTCTTGGCTCCTTGCATTTCCATATGAATTTTAGAATCAACCTATCAACTTCTACAATCCCCCAAATAATCTTGCTGGGATTTTTATTACATTGAATCTATAGATCAGTTGAGAAGAATTGACATCAATGCAATATTAAGTTTTCTAATCTATGAACCAGATACATCTGTCTATTTATTTAGGTCTTTTAAAAATTTTTCACACTTTTGATTTGTATTCTGTGAAGAGGTCTTATATAGCCTAATTAGTTTTTTAAAATTTTTTTTTTGTAGATGGACACAACATCTTTATTTTATTTATTCATTTTTATGTGGCACTGAGGATTGAACCCAGTGCCTCACTCTTGCTAGGCAAGTGCTTTACCACTGAGCTACATTCCCAGACCCCCTAAATAGTTTTATTCCAAGGCATTTGATGTCGTTTTTTTCATGTGTGTTTATATATGTGCATATACATTTATTATTGTAAGTAATATTGTGTTTTAAATTTCATTTTCTATTTATTTGTTCCTATCATTGAAGTGCAAGTGATTTTTTTGTGACATTGACTTTGTATTTTGCAACTTGCTAAATTCATTTATTAGTCTAAAAAGGCTTTCTCTTGACTTCTGGGTTTTCTGTGTATAATCATGTTTCCTATGGATAAAGACCATCTTATTTCTTCCTTTCCAGTCTTTATACCTTTTCCTCTTTTTTTTCCCTTTTCACACTTAGGTCTCCATTATAATGTCAAACAGAAGTGTTGGTCTCATTCCTGATCTCAGAAAGAAAATTTTTAATATTTCACATCAATAATATACTTACTATAGATTTTCACAGATATCCTATCAGAGTGAGGAAGTTTTTAACTTTTCTATAAACCTATTCCTAGTTTTCTGACATTTTCTTCTTATTACTATCAATTTATATTTAATTTTATCAAATTTTTATTTGATTATATGTGGTAAAGCACATTGATTGACTTTTTTGGGGGGGTGAGATACAGGGAATTGAACCATTGAACCCAGGAGTGCTTAACCACTGAGCCACATCTCCAGCCCTTTTTTTATTTTTTATTTTGAGACAGGGTCTCACTAAGTTGGCTTAGGGCCTCAGTAAATTGCTGAGGCTGGCTTTGAACTTGTGATCTTCCTTTCTCAGCCTCTTGAGCCACTGAAATTTCAGGCATATGCCACTGCACCGGGCGATGTTGATTGATTTTAAATGTTAAACAACCTTTCATTTATAGAATAAACTAACTTTCTTTTTGGTTAATTTTTAAATGTTAAAACAATCTTTTATCTGAAAGATAAACCAACTTTCTGGTTAGAGGTATTAGCCTTTTCGTACATCACTGGATTTTGTTTGCTAATATTTTGCTAAGGGATTTTGCTTCAGTTCACGACAGAGATTCACTTGTAATTGTTCTTTTTTGTAATGTCCTTATCAGGTTTTGAAATCAAGGTCATATTGGCTTTATAAAATGAGTTGGGCGGTGTCCCATCTGTACTGGAGCTCCTCAGCACTCTGCAGAGGGTGGCTGAGGACATGAATCTGAGTGTGGCTGTCTCAGGTTTGACCATTCTCAGTGTCCCCTTTGTGAGTGTGAGCTGCTGCAGGCCTTCGATGCTGTGGAGACATCTGCCTGTATTCTCCAGAAGAGTTTATGTGACATTGGAGCTTTTTAAATTTTTTCTTAAATTGTTTGAAAGAATCCCCTGGTGAAGCCTTTGTAGTTGGAGATGGAGGGGTTGTCTTGTGTGTGAAGTTTTTTATTCTGATTCAATTTATTTAGTAGATGGGACTTCCTCATATTCTTGTTTTTCACACAATTTGTCCACTTCGTCTAGATTTAAAATTGTTGACCTAAAGTTGTTTATATCATTATACTATTTTTAAATTTTTTTTTTTAGAGGGAGAGAGAGAGAGAGAATTTTAATATTTATTTTTCAGTTATTGGTCGACACAACATCTTTGTTTTGTATGTGGTGCTGAGGATCGAACCCAGGCCGCACGCAAGACAGGCGAGCGCGCTACCGCTTGAGCCACACCCCCAGCCCTATATCATGCTATTTCATCTTTAAATACTGCCGTGCATATTTATTTCCTTAGGTTGCGGGATCTTGCTATATTTTATTACCTGCTGTATGATAATTATGCTCCCTTTGTCAGTATTGGTAAGGTTGTTTTCTTGATCAGTCTTGCTGTAGATCTATACATTATGTTTTAAAAAAGAAACAACTTTGGCTTTGTTGTTTTTCTCAAATGCACATTTAAAGAAATCAATTTCCACTTTTATCTTTATTATTTGCTTTTTTCCACTTTATTTGAATTTCACTTATTATTGACCTTTTTCTAGCTTCTGTGATGGACACAGCCTTTGCTCTTTATTGGAATTACACAAGTTTTGTGTTTACCCATATATTAACAATTTCTGACAAATTTTACTCCTTTGTATAGATTCAGATTTCGTTCTCGTATCATTTTCCTTCTTCCTGAAAAATTGCCTTTTTTTTTTTTTTTGTTTTTTGTAGATCGGGTCTGCTACCAATGGATTCTCTTGGCTTCCCTTTCCCTCCATCTGAGAAAGATTTTTATGTTGGCTTCATTTACAAAAGATACGTCTAGCTAGGCGTGGTGGCGCATGCCTGTAATCCCAGCGGTTGGGGAGGCTGAGACAGGAGGATCATGGGTTCAAAGCCAGCCTCAACAATGGTGAGGTGCTAAGCAACTCAGTGAGACCCTGTCTCTAAATAAAATACAAAATAGGGCTGGGGGTGTGGCTCAGTGGTTGAGTGCCCCTGAGTTGAATCCCCTGTACAAAAAAAAAAAATACATCTACTAAATATAGAAATCTAGTTTATAGGCTTTTTGCTTTCTGTACTTTAGAGACATTTTTCTGTTATCTTCTGGCCTAGACAGTTTGTGACAGAGGTCTACAGTCATTGTTCCTTTGTCTCTGATGTGCTTAAAATAAACAACTGTGGCTGGATTTTTAAATTTATTTATTTAGTTATCTATTTATTTATTTAAGTAGAGATAGGGTATCACTATGTTGCCCAGGCTGGTCTAGAGCTCCTGGGCCCAAGTGATCCTCCCACCTCAGCCTCCCCAGTGCTGGGAAAAGCAGCCTCCACCACAGCACCATAAGGCTGTTTTTAAGATTTCCCCTTTTTGGAGCTGGGGTTGTGGCTCAGTGGTAGAGTGCTTGCCTAGCATGTGTGAGGCCCTGGATTCACCACATATAAATAAACCAAGTTAAAAATCCAACGCCCTGAGTTCAATCCCCAGCATGGCCAAAAAAAATTCCCTTTTTTTGATAGCCACAGTGGCACACCTGTATGTAATTCCAGAGACTCAGGAGGCTGAGGCAGGAGAATCACAAGTTGGAGGCCAGCCTCAACAACTTAATGAGGACTTAAGAAACTTAGTGAGAACATGTCTCAAAAGAAAAAGAAAAGAAAGACCGAAAAAAAATTCTTTTATTACTGGTTTTCATCAGGTTGACTATATAATGTGCTTTGGCATCTTGCTAGGGGTTGTTAAGAATTCTGGGTTCGTGGCTTTATAGATTTTCACCAAATTTGAAAAATGTTGTCATTATTTCTTCAAGTGTTTTTTTCTGCCTTCACTCCTCCCTTTCTGAGAATCCAACTAAACAAATGTTCAACTACAGAATATTGTCCCACAGGTCACAAGGTTCTATTCCCTTTCGTGTGTGTGTGTGTGTGTGTGTTATATCCAGTTTCTCTAGTTGTTTGCATTGGGAAAATCAGCATGTTCAAAACAACTGTATTACAGCTAGAAGCAGAATCCCTGATGATCTTTGCACCAGGCTTTACTGCAAGTAGGTCAGAACTGAAGAGCCAGTTGCAAAGAGCTGGAATGCCCAAAGCACATGCAGACAGGATGCGGGTCTGGGCAGTGGTCTCATCTCCCCAGTAGACTCAGACCCACTCAGGAGTCTCGGCGATCTGACTAGTCGGTCTAGGAATGCATGTTGGATAAGTAATTTTACTCTTGGGGAGACTTTGAGCTAGATACTAAGCTGCTTTCCATACCTGTGAAGTAGGGAGCAGGACACCCACCTTTGGCTGGTGTGGGAATTAAAGTGTGGCTAATGTGTGTGAAGCAGGGAGCACCGGCCAGCCATGAGGAAACAGGTGGCAGTGGTGGCATTGATGCTGTCGTTGAAATCACTGGGTCTCCGTCCTTAGCATTTTGCAGACACCAACCACTGGGAAGGGCTGATAGGCTGTGGCCTGGCTCCCGAGCTGTCAGAAAGAACCCTGGGTGGAGGCACGGGGAACTGCTTGTCCCATCCCAGAAAGGGCTGCCCTCCCAGCCCAGGGCGGTGTGCAGCCTCTGGGCAGGAGCAGAGCAGTCCCAGGATGGCAGTCCAGGTTGGGCTTGGCGCTGCTCCCCAGGCACTGCTGGCTGAGTCTTGCCTTCTCCAGCCTGTTTCTTCCCAGCCAAGGTAGCAAAGCGGGCACACAGTGGGGCACCAGCCTTTCACTTGGCCCATGGCTTGGCTGGGGCCAGCAGGTAGGGACTCTGCAAGGCCAAACCATCAAGTCCATTAGAGGACATTTCTGTTGCCTGCGGTGGGGCCGGGCAGGCTGTGAGAGAGCACTCACCGTTTCAGCCTCCTCCGGCTTATCAGTGGTTCTTCCTGGGGCCGCACTTTGCAATCTTCTGGGGAACTTTGGCCGACACCACCATCAGGCCCCAACCTGCAGTGCTCCTGATCTGCCTGGTGTGCAGCAGGCTGGGCCCTTGGTGTACTTTAAGAGCTCTCTAGGCGCTGTGGGCTGGCGGGCTAGTGGGATGGCAGATGAGGAAGAAGACCCAACCTTTGAGGAGGAAAATGAAGAAATTGGAGGAGGTGCAGAAGATGGACAGGGAAAAAGAAAGAGACTTTTTTCTAAAGAATTACGATGTATGATGTATGGGTTTGGGGATGACCAGAATCCTTACACTGAGTCAGTGGATATTCTTGAAGATCTTGTCATAGAGTTCATCACTGAAATGACTCACAAGGCAATGTCAATTGGAAGACAAGGTCGAGTACAAGTTGAAGATATCGTCTTCTTGATTCGAAAGGACCCAAGGAAGTTTGCTAGGGTTAAAGACTTGCTTACCATGAATGAAGAATTGAAACGAGCTAGAAAAGCATTTGATGAAGCAAACTACGGATCTTGATAATTTTTGTACTTCATGAAATTTCATTATATTCTGTGGAAATCATATATGATAATTGTGTATTTTGTTCAGTAATGTCCTAATATCTAGGCATGTAAATGAAAGATGGAGAAACAAAGTTTTCAGCCTTTATTTTCATGTCTTTGATTTTAGAGTGATCCTTGAGCCTTTAATTGCCTGCCTTTACATGACTATACTTGAATTACTTACTGAGTTTAATGACTACACGTAAGTTAAAGTACCTTACAAATTATGCAGTTCCTTCTGACTTTTGACTATCTAAAGGATGAAGTATTTATGTGTTAGGTATATTTGTGCCATTATAAGCTATACTATAGCTGTTTAATATGTGAAATCTAAGTGTCATTTTGACTATGACAGCTGAGACATATGCCTTACATATTCTGAAGTTTTTAGACAACAGTGGTCTGAGATGTTATTAAAGATAGTGAACTGGTTTTCTTTTAAGGAGATGATATTTGAAACTACAAGTTTTTTGTAAGAATGTTTATGTGTCTTAAATGATAATTTGTTTTAATATTTTCTAAAGAGTGATTTTTTTATTTTTATTTTTTTAGAAACTTAAAAGTTTCATGTTGATGCTTCCATGTTGAAAGACTTTTTTGATTTAAAACCTTTTGGACTTAAAGTTACTTTTTAAGTTTTAGAACTCATTTTCCCAATCATCTACTTTCAGGAGCAGGAATGGCAATGTTTAATGAGCTAATGGTAGGATAAGCATTTGGGGTAATGTTTTTTTAACATATTTGTAAGTACTTGTGGAAATGTGTAGTTGACTAAAACTGTATGTAGCTACAAAAACCACTTTTGTAGTTCACAGTATACAGGTTTTGTGTGAATTTAGCTTACTGCATTAAATTATTGCCCTTAGCTTAAAATAAGGATTAAAATTGCATTTAAAGAGATCACTGAATGTTACTGTTTGTGAAACTGAGCTTTTTGATTCTACTTATAAATAGTATCTATAAATCAGTACCTGGGAAAATTTTACTTTCTTAATCTATTGATACAAGGAATAAAGTATAAAAAATTAAACAGAAAAAAAAAAAAAGAGCTCTCTAGCGAGAGCAGTGAGCAGTCAGGGCTGAGGTGCCAACCCAAGCTCGTGGTATGTCCTGTTGAGAATGAAAGGGGCCCTGAGCACCTCCGTGCAGCCCTCTCATCTTACACAGGGAAGCTGAAGCTGAGAGGCCCCTGGGCCTATTTCTCGCCGAGCCTGTGGCCTGTCCAACCTTCCCTATGGAGAGCACAGCATGCCAGCCAGCCAGCATCTTAGCCCCAAGGCAGGACAGGCTGACGGGAAGAGCCCAGGCCCCCTTGTCCATGGCCATTGTCACTCACACACACCCAGGACCTGCCAGGCTCTGTGCAGGCCCTTCACCTGCATCCTGCAGGTGGCATCACCCACACTCTGGTGATGACGCTTGCTTCAGGTCACACAGAAGGAAGTGACCCAGTCAGGAAGCATCCTGGAGCTGCCTAATTCTGAGACCCGAGCATTCCCATTCATCCTCTTGGGTCTTTTCAGGAGGGAGGAGCAAATACCTGCCCCTCTGAGCCTCAGTGTCTCTGACAACCCAAATGCCATCTGTCCTTGGTGCAAAAAAAATTTCCAAAAAATCCTGCCCAATGATGGCCGAGTTTTTCCCAGCCTCACCTCAGGACAAGTACCTATTCATTAGCAAATGTCTGCCATTAAAAGAAAATGGTTGTCATTTGACACCCATGTGTTCCCTTTCAAAATGACAGATTAATATTTATCTCCCTCCTGAAAAAGAGTCTGAGCACACGTCTTCCTGATCTGCCAGGAAAAAGTCCTCTGAATTCAAAATGTCTCAATGCAGCCTCGGCACAGCCAGTGAGTTCTCTGTCCACAGAGTCAGGTCAAAGCTCCCTCTCAGGTTCAGCCAAAACAGAACATCACCAAGTTTGTTTTCTTTTAAAGGAAATGTTTAAATACATTGGCAGGAAATTTACTCTTCTACATTTTGGGTTCTATAGTTCTTTTGAGGGTTGGTGTTGTAGTTCAGTGACAGAGTGCCCGCCTAGCATGTGTGAGGCACTGGGTTCAATTTTTGGCACCACACCACACACACACACACACAAATAAAGCAAATAAAATAAAGGCCTTCTGTCCATAGACAATTACAAAGGTTTTTGTTGTTGTTATTGTTGTTTGTTTGTTTAAGTTCTTTGAAGAACATGAAGAGTTCTTTCTGGTTTTCTCTATGGCCATGGCCACAGAAGCCCTATGTGAAGGAAGGACTGTGGGGCTCCGAGAACCAGATGGCAGGCACTGACATGGCCACTAGCTGACGGCTGGACCTTGGACAAGTCACTTCTCCCTGGCCTTCTGGTTCCCAGCTGTCCAAGGTGGAAACTGGAGCAGCCTGGTTGTCCACAAACCTGCTCACCCATCCGGGCCACCTGGAGGGCTTAAAACAGTTCTTCTGTCTCCTCTGTTCTCCGAAGCACAGACAGTTCTGGGGACTTCTATCCAGGTAACTACCAACTCCTTATTGCTGATGTTCTGCATAACTGACTTTTTTAAGTCAGCTTTTTCACTGCTGTGACCGAAAGACCCGGCAAGAACAATTTTAGAGGAGGAAAGTTTATTTGGCGCTCATGGTCTCAGAGGTCTCAGTCCACAGATGGCCAAGTCTATTCCTCAGGGCTTGAGGTGTGGCCAGGCATCATGGCAAAAGAGTGTAGGGGAGGAGAGCAGCTCAAACATCGCACCAGGAAGCAGAGAGAAAACTGTGCTCACCAAGAGTAAAATATACCCAAAGCCATACCCTCGGAGACCCACCTCCTCCAGCCACATGCTACCTGCCTACAGTTATCGTCCAGTGAAACCCTACCAGGGGACTAATGCGTTAATGATTAAGTTAAAACTCTCATAACCCAACTGTTTCACCTCTGAACTTTCTTGCATTGTTTCATGAATGAGATTTTGGGGGATGCCTCGTATCTAAGCCATGGGAAACACAGCCATGCCCTTGGTCTGTGCAGCACTCTGACCTGGTGCTTTTTATCCATTTCAGCCCCTGACCTGTTGTGATTCGGACAGGCCTGGTTAGTCTAGGGATGATGTACTCAGGATGATAACCACAGCTGACATTTGTTAGGCCCTTTTGAAGGGTCAGGAATGTGCTTCCTTGCACATAAGTATCTAGTGCAATACTTAGAATGGCTGAGAGGGCAAAGCGATTATTAATCAGCTCCTGTTTACAGCTGAGGAAACTGAGGGATTAGACAACCTGTGTGCACCTGGGTTAAAGGACATTAAGTGGTGGAGCCAAGGCTGGAACTCAGGCAGTTTGGCTGCCAAGCTGGTGGCTTTGGCCACTCCATCATCCACTCAGATGACAGTGGCCATCCAGTTGAGTCATGGGACCACCGAGAGAGGTGCAATGTGAACCTGGCAGGAAATGGCTTTGCCCAGAGCAACATGTTCTTCCCTCCCTGCTTCTAGGGTTCCTCAACAAAGTGTTTTACTGTCTTCCTGAAAGATGTGTAGGGACCTGGTTCAGTCTCTGACCCGGTGGACACTCATCACAAATATCCTGGACATCCCATTCTATCTGAAACAGGACAGTCACCTGTGTGCTTTCCTTCTCCCTTGACCCTGGGAGAGACTGCTCTGGAAAGTGCCTGCTGGGCCATTGGAAACACGAGAGACGGGGCTTGGGCATATCGTGTGGGCCAGCAGACATGGACACAGGGCTGCCGTCTCCCACCTTCTGGCCACGGAATTGCTGCTTGCTGTGTTCCTGACCTTGGTCCTTGGTAGGCTTGGCCGGGTTCCTCTCCCAATGTCAACCACATAGGAGACCTTGTTGGGTGGCCAGGGCCCTTCAACTCTTCTATCAGCTTTAGAAAGTTCAAGGAAATCTTTGATGTCTTTTTTTTTTCTTATTTGATTTTACCTGCTGCAATCAATCCAGTTGGGCATAGGAGTTTCCCCCAAGTGCCAATGTGTGTGGATCCACATGCCTTGATGGAGAAATATTTAGCTAAGGAAATAGACTCCAGATTGCTGCTTCTAGGGAGTGGGGGAGAATAAGCTTAAAAAAACAACAAAAAAGGCAAAAACTACTAATTTTAGGTGCCAGCAATGTTTTTTTGAACAAGAAGAGCCAATCTTCCAGAAAAGGTCCTTAGTAATAGGCTAGATATCTGAACAATGTTAGGCACACCCAGTTCCTGCTGGAATTTTTCTTTTCCTCATCTAACTTGTCTTGAATTTGAAACATGTGAGTATACACCAGGATCCTCCCTCAAAGCTCCTGCTCTCTGGCTTTAACCACACAGGAAAACCCAGCCCCAGGCCAGTTTCCAAGGTCATTTTATTCACTGTGGGTTTTAACAAACCAAAGTCAGGCAGCAAATTGAGAAAGAAAAAATAGTTCCTGCGCACAGGTAGTGAACTTCTCCTTTCTTGCCAACATATTTCTCAGACCTGGTGCCAAACTGGGAGGAGATCTCACAGTTCCTCAGAGATGGCAGTGATTGAAGCGTGCAGGGCTGGGCTCCAGGCGGAAAGCGGGAGCAAGTGGAAGAGAGTCTCATTCTGGTCAGGTGGCAGTGGAAGCTGTGGTGGCATTTGACTGTACCCATCTGCCGGTGTCGTGTGCTCCCATATCATGAAGAACGATACCACCATGGTGGGACCACCATCCGTGGAACCTGGCCTGCCTCTCTAAAGACTCAGGTGGATCTAACAGCGGCATGTTCACTGACACAGACCAGATACAGTATGGAGGGCGGGGGGGGGGGGGGGAAGCAAGGTGCGGAGGAGGAGTGTGTGTGGTATGATTTCACTTACATACAAGAAAAAACCCTCATACACCCAAACAGTGTATACCTCACCCGGCCAGGTATTGCTGCCCTCACCTGAGTTACCTCGTGAGATCCCCCATTTCTGTCATCACTTAGTCTCCTACCTCTAGGATCCTGCCCTGGTGAGCACTAATGCCAGAGCCAGGTAGAAACCCAAATCCCAAGGCAGCCTTTCCTCCCACCTTCCCCCGTTCCAGCAGTGGGGCCAGACCCTACGGGCCTGGCCTGCGGGTTTAGAGGGCAGGGTTCTTTAGCAAGTGGCCTGCCCTGCTGGCAAGGGGTGGTGGTGCCAATTTTCAGCCGCATTCCCTTAGCTGGGGGATGTGGCATCTTCCCTCCCCCACCCTACCCGTTCTCTCTTTTCTATTCCCCATCTCTTTCCCTCCCTGTGTCAGGTCTGGCAAGCCTGACCTGGTCACCTCACAAGGAGTGACTCCTCTTCCCTCAGGGACAGTTACAGAGTTTTTTTTCTTCCGGCCTCCCCAAGAGAGTCCCACGGGTGGGGGGGTGGAAGTGCTCCCTTAATGGGCCCATGGGCTCCAGTGGTCTTCACGTGTGTGGGTTTCCTGCTGCTACTGCCACACATTGCT